CCTGGAACATAACATTTATTTCCATGATCTGCCATTTTCGCTATTATCCTCGCTTGTTTCTTCACAATACCTGCAGAATTTAGAACATGGGCGGGTATATGCAAATGTTGGGGGCGTAACTATTAGTGATCCCAACTGTAACGTCACAGTCGGTGTTATGTTCTGATTCACCTATTTTTCAGTGGTCTTTTGCATGCACGAGATTTACATAAGAAGGAGGAAACAATGGTGTTTGAGGTTCACGGTATGTCATTTTCATGTACAGAACTGTTATTATTCAACTATGCCAAGGTAAATACAGTTTTCCATTCTATGGCACCTTTAAAAGAACAGTTCACTGGATACTGCGCATACGCTTAACATGGCTATCCATACTCATGAAAGACTTGCGTTGTGTGTACACAAAGCCGAGTGGACGCAGAAAGTGAAGTATACCTGAGCCTTTCTCAGTCAAAAAGACTCAATCACAATTCATTTTAACTCACCCACTCAAATAAACAATGTGCTTAGAAGCTAAAGAAAGAAATCAAGAAAATAAAATAGACTGCAAGAAAGAAAAAGAAAAAAGATGTAAATGAATTTACATCCGACTTACTTTGTGAACTGCAAGTCTTTACTTTTAGAAAATGTTTTGAGGGATTTGATATCTGATGCAGTGTTATTTTAGTCTTATTTATACTATTATAGAACTGTATTTATAAATATTTTGAAGCTTTTTGTATTTTCAGTTATTTTAATTTTAGCAATTTGATATGTATTTGTTCCTTTTATATCATATTTATTCTATATAACTTTATTCCATATAATTTTTATTTCAAGGCAACATTACTAATTTTTGTTAAATTTTTTTAAAGTGTAACTTTTTCATGTAATATTTATAATAAATTTTATTTCAGCTTCATTTCTATTACTGAAAATGATTTCTAATAGTTTTTTACTTCTCTAGAGTCATAGACTCCATTTACCCCTGTATCTAGCAACATTAAAGCGCTCCCCCCCCCCCCCCATCAATGGTTTTCAAAATGTGATGCTCTTTAACAAAGCTTGAAATTAAAAAATATTACAACATGCAAATGTTATTTAAATTGTCTTTTTATTTAATTCTTATTTCTAATTTCTCATTCTACAATTTTAATAGATTTATGCATGCAATCATCATAATACCCTAATGTAATATTGATAATATTTAGATCTGGTCTGAATTGATTAGACTGATTAGATATGTGGTTTAAAAAGTCTGAGCACCACTGCCCTAATTGATAGCTGAAATGCAGAAATCAGGCACAGTGTGCAAATCAGTCAGTCACTGGCTCTCCATCTCAGTGTATTCGTGTATCTGTCTTCCCGTTACTGAATCACTCCCACACACAGATGAGCTGCGCTGATACATGCAGCATACTGAACTGGGTACAGGAATAATTCAGTTTATCATTGCATCACACAGTCATCCGGGCACACTCAGATAGGCTCTGCTGTGGTCCATGCATGTACCTGTGCGTTGTACTGCGCCTCCTGCTCTTTGGGTTGACAGGCACAGCTCTGCTGCCTGAGCTGCTCGAGTCGGTGTTCCAGCTGTCTCTGCTCCTGCCGCACCTCCCCCAGTCTCTGAGCATGCTCAGTGTGCACTGCCTCCAGCTCGTTCTGCAGCTCCAGCTGCTCCGCAGACAACTCCCTCAGCCTAGCTGCTTCGCCCCCACGCACTGCCTCCAGCTCCTACACACACACGCACATCAATACATGCGTCAAACAATGTATGGCAAAGGTCGAGGGTTTGTAGTGGACGAGTCAGGGGTGATGAAGCTCAACTGGAACATACTCTGTATGTTCATACTCAACTGGAACATTCTGCTCTGGCCTTCACCTTTACTCTCATTATAACAAGGTCTCTCTCTTTTCACAGGACCACAAAAGAGCTTCTCAGGTACACAACTAGTCCATCTCCCTGGCTCTGTTCCAACCTCTAGTGAGCTGCCTATTTAGAGGAACATTTTTAGACATTATAGGCATGCACCCAACATGAATGCTGCTCTGAACAGAAAGCAGCAAAATCACGCTGTGTTTTAAAATACCCGTTTAGACCAAAATCTAGGACGGAATCACATGTATCATTTCGCGGATGAGGCAATCCCAGATGCAATACGAAAAACTTAATCATTTTCATCCAAAATGGCAGCAGGAAATGCTAATTATAAATATGCACAGATGCATAAATATGTGCATATATAATGTATATATAATGTATAGATAAAAATCTAATTAAAAATTGACTATTTCATTGATTATGTGTGCTTGCTATTCATTCGTTGTACTCAGCTTTTCGACTTAGGTTAGATGCCATTTTTAATTTCACATGACAAATTAAAGGCAAAGGGGTTCCAAACTAGGCTATGCAAAGGTGCTTAGGGGTAATTTTCTTACAAAATGTAATTTTAGGTGTGCCAAACTTAAAGTATGAAGGCAGGATATAATTGATTTATTTAAATTTGTATAATGACATTAACATATATATTATTTTTTTGATATTATTACTTTTATTTTGCCTCAAGCAATAATGAGTTATGATGCTTCCTTAGAAGCCTATGTAGACACCAGACAGTTGGGCAGCTCATTATGGTTTGGAACAGAGCCTCTGTGACTCAGGAAGGGATGATTTGTCTAATCTGACTGTCTCACCATCTCCAGCTGCAGCTGTTTCTGAAGGGTGGAATTCAGCTTTTCTTGCTGCCGCTGGTACATCTGCACAATCTCTAGCATGATCCTGTCCTTGTCGTCCTCAGCTCCACTGTCTTTGCCCTCCGTGGGAATGGGGGCGTGCTGCTTGCCGCCCGGGCTAGTCTCCATGGCGACTGACGGAGGAGGTTGGCGGCACTCATTCGCTTCGCCCGCGTTGTGAGATTTGGCCTCCTCTGCAATGGAGGAATGAGATGCGGGAAGATCTGAGGGAAAGAGAAGAAAGAGTTAACCACACTCATGCAATCACACACACACACACACACCTTATCTGTCATGTGCTGAAAGTCTGTGTGACTAATTCTCTGTGGGTGTCTCTCTTTGAAGGTCAGCGTAGAGGGGAAGAGCTGGAAGCATCACACAGAAATGTGAGGCATGTGGAGAATTTCTCGATCTAAAGTTATTTTTTAATGCTGCTAAGGTACTACACACGCTCTACATACAAATCACATGCACCAGGCAAACCACAGCAGCCTAGCATGTATGCTTAGATGAGCAACACGGGAGTCCAAAGGGACTGAGAGAGAGAGAGAGAGAGAGAGAGAGTGTAAGAGAGATACAGCTCATTTGAATGTTGGACAGGCAGGCTGCAGATCTGGCACTGCAGAGCCAAAGAACAGCCTCGCACTGCTGCTAGCCTCTACTGTGACTAAGACCTGTCTGTCACTCAGAAGAATGAGTCAAATATGGAGAACGAGAGACGGTAGGGACACAAGGGAGCCAGGATGGAGAACGGTACATGGAAGAAAGAGAGACAAAAGACAGGGGAGTCAGGATGGAGACTGGGTGTATATAAAGAAAGAGAGACAAATTGAGAATAAAGTGAGGGGTGAGCTAAGATGGAGAACGGGTATACTGAAAAAAGAGAGACAGACTGAAAAAAATAGGGAGAAGAAAAAAAAAAACAGAGGAAGAAAGCGATAAGCACAGTGAGGTGAGAAGTGGGCCAGAGGGGTTGAAAGAGGATCAAAAAGTGAAAAAAAGGATGAGTGAGGCACAGAGAAAAAAGGAAAAAGAGAGAGAGACAGGCAGAAGGAGGACGGGAGGAAATGTGGCGTGCTGCGGTGGAGACTGGAGACCCCTCCCCCAGCACTCTAGAGCGATCTGACACTCACAGGGACAGCGGCCTCTGTTCATTCACTCTCTCTTCACTGGCAACTATAAAATGTGAGTTGTATTAATCATTAGCAAGACACTCTCAGCAGCTCCTCACCCTTTAAGTGAGTCAACCACATGCATGTCCATAAACTTCTGACCTTTAACAGCACATCATTCTAGCATGTCTTGTGCATGTACATGCATTCATTTACAAGGATAACTAAATGGTGCAGGGGTACAAACCTGTGGTGGGCTGGCTGTCGTGGGTGAGTGTTCTCCTGCTGTAGTGTTGTTTGAGCAGGGCCCCCAGAACCTCATGGCTCACCTCCCCCTCCTTCCGCAGGGATACGTTAGGGGCCACCATCTTATCGTACGTGTACAGGTAGCAACTGCAAACATAACAAACACCCTCAGGCCAGTGCACATACAACGCTGGAACTAAAAACTCCAACATTATCATGAGAATTGTTGCTCTCAGAGAGCCTTTCACACGTACAGCTGAGCAGTTAATGATGCACCACTAATCGCAATAATCAGATCAGACTGGGATAAATTAACATTAAAAAAAACAAAAACAAACAGGGTCTAGTTGATGTATGGCAATGCAATTCAATTGCTTTTTTCTTGTTGACTGACTGCGAGCCTTCAGGTCAAGTGCTATTATTCTCTTATGAGGTTTGCGAATATAAATCTTAAATACATTTTAACATTGTCTAAAAAGATGATTGGTACAAATGCCATCACAATGATAGGGTCTTGTGATTGGTTGACAAGGCATTGCTATGCGGCTGCTAGGGTGTCCTGAATAGCTTCTAAGGTCAACGCTTGCAGGTCCAAATCAAAGAAACCCAGGTTACACGAGAAACCTTAGACACGGTCTATAGGACATCTATGGAATTTTGCCCATTTTATCATATGCACTTGCGTGATCCTATTGAAATCCTGGAACAAGGGAATGCTTGGAAAAAAAGGGCCATACCTAGGGTGGATGACGGGGCTGTGTCCTGGTTCCTCTTTGATGTCAGGAAACAGTCGACTGAATGCCACTGAAGACTGTAAGTTGCCCTGTACACACACAAGCAAACGCGTATCAATATTAATGAAGCACTTTAGGACCATTTGAATATGAAATGGACTGTTTGAGCTACATTAAAATACATGTCTACACATATTTGTGCATGAATAATACAGAAATTCTTTAAGGTCTCATTACACACAGATTATGAAGAGCATTTGTGCAGGAGCAGTCAAACAGCAATAATTACATACAAATGCACAAACACACAGAGAGGAAACTTAGTAAGGGGAGAGAGGACGTCTGAAGCAGAGTAAACAAAGAGAGCAGTACAAACATCCTGCTGTAATATCATGTATGCATGAGAAGAATTCATCCATCAGTGGCCACAGAGCACAGGCTGACAGGTAGAGCATTAATGAAGAGGATAAGAGAAAGACAGCATTAAGTGAAACAGCCCAGGTAGGTTTCTGTTTGATTGTTGATGTAAAGACTGGGTGAGGTATATTGGGCGAGAGTGTGGCTCTGTTTACACCTTGTTTTAAAGATGTGTCTCAGATGTGTCTCATGTAAAAGGATTTTGAGAGGACGGCCTCTGATTGCGTGACTAGTGAATTAATATTTACACTACAAGCACAATGTAGTCAAATGTCAACACATTTTTTGTACTTCATGTACACCTTTATTTAACGTCATCTCATTTCAAACAAATCACCTGAAAAATACCCTACCGTTAAGAAAATTACAATAAAAAATGTATTTAAAAAAATTATAACAAAAGGTATATAGTTACGTTTTCACACAAATATTAAGCAGCACAACTGTTTTTGAACACCAAATCAGCATATTAGAATGATTTCTGAAGGATCACGTGACACTGAAGACTGGAGTAATGGATGCTAAAAAATTCAGCTTTGCCATCAGAGGAATAAATTACATCTTGAAATATATTAAAATAGAAAACAGTTATTTTAAGTTTTAATATTTTCACAATACTACTGACTTTACTGTATTTTATATAAAATAAATACAGCCTTGGTGAGCATAAGAGACTTCTTTAAACTTTAATACTAACTTTTAAAAAAATTACTGATCTCAAACTTTTGAACTGTACTGTGTTATAAGTAAACAATGCCTTCCTTTGAAAGTGGTTTGCAGTCTGAGCCCTGTTTACACCTAACCCTGCCCAACTGTCATTAGGTCAACCCAAAATCGTCACCCGAAATGAAAAGATGAAGAACACTGTTGGGGCTCTGGTGCGTGTGAAATTAGATATTTCTGAATGAATGAGTGACTGAAAGAGAAAATGAGAGTAAGGGGTGTGAATGTGGGAGTTGTCTAGGGGTGGGTGAGAAGGGTGAGGTCGGTTTTGAGGCCTACGATGAGTATGAGTGAGTAAGATAGAGAGAGGCTGTTTCCTGCTTCTGACTAGATGAGGACGAGGGTGTGTGGATAAACGGGGAGGCTGTTCTGTGCCTGCGTGTAAACAGAGACAAGGAGACAGACCACTTGAAGAACAATTTGGAGAATGCTCAAAATGGGGGCTGTAAGAAAGGAAGTCCCACTGTACACTGCCTTATTAGCCTAATTTCAGCTAAAAAAGCTACATTAAATAACTTTTGTCAGATCTTATAAATGATTGAACTGTTATTACACACCAAGCAGTTTTGGAGATTTTAGACAGTCCCCATTTTAGCACACATGATACTTGCAGGTCTATTGCTTAGATAGAAAATAGCTGCCCGGGATCGATGCCAAGATGCCCGTTGAGTAGCCTGACTTGCATTAAATGGACTTTGTTGTAAAGTGATGCAGTACCTTAGAAGGTAGCTTTTTTTCCAGGACGCTATCAGACAGCTTGCTGTTAGGTGGGCAGGGTGCAGGACTGGACTTCCTCCCTTGACTGTCGTCATCCACCACCTTCTGTGAGAAAACACACAAACACATGCTTTATGAGCACAACCTCATTCACAAAAAAGTGTTAACACTTAGCTGCAAGCTTTCAGACATGTAATACATCTGATATCACAGAGCTTGTGCATAAATCACCACATTCAATCTGTCCGTCACCGCTTCTGCTCAATGTGTTTGACAAACACGCTGCGAGGCTTGTACATATGTGCGTGTTTGTGTGTGTGTGTATGTATGTGTGTGTGTGCACGCGTGCGTGTGCGCGTGCGTGCAAGTCACACACCATGAATCCAGGGCAAGCTCCGTGCTGATGGTTATCAGACTCAGACAGAGCTTAATATAGCTGACACAGAAGGATAGAGCCCTTACATTCATCCGACATAACAACCATTCGCTTAAGACTGCGTGATTCATATGTGTGTTTCTAATGTTTACAATCCGTAACATCCTCTATTTGGCAGAGCAAACCAGAAAGTGCAACGCACATCTTTGTCCCTCCATCACAGAGACACTAACGGTAGTTGATAAGTGAGTGTCAGAGGAGGAAGAAACATGTTAAATTACAACTTCCTGCAGACTATGGGATCTCCTGTTTCTTGTAGCATTAAGAATGAATGGTAATGTTGTCGCACAACATAAACAGCTGTACAGTGGTCGGGTGACATAGCAACCCCACACACTGGCGCTAAATGTAAGAAAATGTGTGTGTAGAAGATAGGGCTGTTTTTCTTGAGGGAAGAGGAGGACTGCAGCACGAGTTAGGGATGGGAGGCTGCCGAGGGGGGCAGGAACAATGAGCACACTGCAGTGGTGAGCCCGTCTAACCTTGACAAGCACACACACTATGTCTACCGGCCCATCTCTCCACACTTCACGGCCCAGCCAACACTCCCTCCTCAGCCGTGACACATGCAATCAAGCAGTCTCCGATCTATCTCCTTTACATTTACAGTCTATGATGCGAGTTCTCATCCCTCGAAAGCCAAGTATGCAATTCTAATGCTTAAAACTGGTTCAATATTTTATGTTTGGAACAGAGTACTAGCATACTGTGCAGTACATACTATAAAAAATAGTAAGTACACTGTTTTGGCTTTATTTATTGACTGATTTTATTATTGCAACATAACAGAAATTATATACAATAGACATTACAAAATGTAAAATGTAATAAACAAACAAAAAACAAAACAAAATAAAAAATAAAAAAAAACAAAACAAAAAACACAGGCTTAGTACAGATGTAAAACAAACAGTTCAAAATTTCCAAAGCCTCTGGCTACATGTGAAAATTAAAAGTACTGTCTGTAGGGTCTTATGTCCTGTATATAGTGTTTTTTACCTAGTTGATTGATCTGGGGGAGGGGGATAAATGTGTATATATTAATTTGTTATATATATGATTTATTTATAAAATAAATATGGAGATTTATTTTATATCATTTGTTTTATTATTATTTTTTAATTTACAAATGTGACCCTGGACCACAAAACCAGTCTTAAGTCGCTGGGGTATATTTGTAGCAATAGCCAAAAAAACA